CACCTTCAGCTTGTACTTACCCTGTTCATTTTTATAATAAAACAGGGTTTTCCTTCTGGAAATCCAAAAGTAGGATCGGTGATGCCGGAGCAGTTTTGAAGCATATCTGAGGTAAATTTGCAGGATAGTTTTGTTTTATTGGGGCCATCAAAGGTGTCCTGGATGAAGTATGTGTCACTGGTGCAATTGATGTTCATACGCTGAGCAGCTGGCGTATATGCTAGATGTGGGAGGGAAAAAAGAAAAATTCCCCTCTGAAGGTTTTCATATGTAAGTTATACATCCCAATACCAGGTTGGAGGTTATGTCGTGGGGGAATGTACTTCAAGTGAAGTTGGGATTAGATGGAATGAGGAAAGTTTAAATTGTTTGGGGGTTGGGTTGGTTTTGGTTTTTTTAGAATACGCAGGCAAAGTGAAAAAAAGAGATCAAATTGAGTTAAGACTGGCAATTTGTGTTGATAGCTCCGTATAACGTCAATTCCAAATACAAATTTTCTCAATATGTGTATGAGAAACAAAGAAATACGATATTAAGGCTCAAAGGAATATAAATCTGTTAAGATATGAACAGGCAAATGGAGCACCTAACCTACTTTGACTATACTCTCCGATGACGCTATGCAACAGCTTCACAAGACTTATTATGGCACTTTGATATTTGTAGTCACGGACAGTATTAGATTAATTTAGATGAGACTAGTTTTAAAGACCTTTTTTCCTCCCTCTTCCTTCAAACTGTCTATTGGCCTATTTTATAAAGGCTGTTTAGGATTAAACAAAGTAAAAGCTCTGAGCCCCAGGGCTCTGCTTTTGATAGAAATGTTTACATATGTTTGATTTATGGAGTTATTTGCTCATCCTTTTCAGAAGATGCATTTTCCACTCCAAATCTGTGATTTCAGAAGGACAAATAGACTTAAGGTCCTCAGACCTAATACCAGAGATGTGACAGCACGTTTCTTCAATATTACACAGGAAACCTCACTTTTACCTGTCAGAAAAGTCCGAAGAGTTGTCACTAAACTTTCCCAGGTTTTGTTGTCGGATACGTTGTAATAAATTTGTAGTCCTCTATCCCCATAAACGTCGGGTCGTAACGTTACACCTTCGCGGGGGAAGAAAAGGGAAGGCAAAGCAGAGGAGAGGTGCCAGGCACAGATTTGTTTATTTAAATTGACAATAGCAATTACACGGCATGAAGACTCTACTGTAAGTGTAGGAGATGCCCAGGCTTTGCTGGGGAGGATTTAACCACGTACGGAAACCATCTCAGCTCTGAGTTGTTCAACCAAAACCCTAAAGCCTCCGGGGCTAATCAACTCTTTTCTTTTCATGTATACCCGTGCTGTTATCAGAACGGCTTGTGAAATCATTCCAGCAATTGCACTGGATTTCCCCAGGACTTGTTAAAAATAACAGTTACAATAGTCACTTCAGGTTAAAGAAACAGATCGTACTGCAGTGGGAGAAACAGCTTTTGGAAGAGCCATGCTTAATGTTTTACAGGAATTATTTTGCCAGCAAACACCAAACTTACTGACTATGGGGAGAGTTCAAAATTCATCAAGAGGCAGACAAAATAATTTTTAGGGCTACAGCTTCAAAAAAGTTGTTTTTTCCTTCCCATCGTAAAAACAAGCCATTAGGAGGGTGAAGTCTTAGCAGTAAGCACTGACGATCTCTCGCTGATACTGTCTTGTCCCTCCCCAGTCTCACTTCGTGTCCCACAAATCTTTATTTCTAATCCCATGTGTCTCTGTCTTATTTTTCCTTGCTTGGCCACTGGCACAACATATCCCCCCGGGCAGGGATTCCTGCTCTCCCAGGGACTTTTCATGCTGCCAGCAAGTGTGGAAATACCCACCTCAGGCTGCTGGCCCCAGTGCCCCTCCATCTTGCTGGGCACCCCAAAACCCTCTGGGATGCTTGGGGGGCTGGAGCAGAAACTAGGCTTTACCCAGGGGCTGACACCTGCCCGTGGGGAGAGGAGAGATATATCTATATATTTTTCTATATTTATAAA